AAAGGATACATTAAATTAATCATTGGAGAGCTGGTCTATACAGAATCATCTGCTGTATAAAAAGAAGAGGAACGAGAAGTTTGAAATTGAATTTAATCTTTTCCTGCTATAGTTTGGGTTGCGACAATAATTATTAGAAGCGAAGTATAGAGAATTAATCTACCACTTTTAAAGGATACATTAAATTAATCATTGGAGAGCTGGTCTATACAGAATCATCTGCTGTATAAAAAGAAGAGGAACGAGAAGTTTGAAATTGAATTTAATCTTTTCCTGCTATAGTTTGGGTTGCGACAATAATTATTAGAAGCGAAGTATAGAGAATTAATCTACCACTTTTAAGCTTTGTTAACAAACTGAATGCCCTTAAACCACCCCTATCAAACTTGGTTCATCTCTGCACCTCTTTGAATGTAGGTTATTGTGTCTTTTCTGTCATACTTTTGTATGGTTCCTTTCAAACCCTTTTCTATTGACTCTTTCCCAATTGCCAAGAAAGAAAAAACGGAAAAAGCTAGTTTTCCACAAAAAAGAAATTTTTTTCTGAAGTTGGGGCCATGAATTTCTTACATGGTAGGAAAAGTTTCACTGACCTTCCTGGGTCATCAATTATCTCAAAAATAACATTTCTCATTTTAAAGGGTGATTAGTAATATCATCGAAAGCTCAAAATGTCTGAATGAAATATAGACTAAATGTCGTAACATTATTTTCCAGGTATCTTTATGTATCCCTATCATGAACTTAAACAAAAACACTACCACCGCCATAGCACTGCCTTTGATCCTCATGTTGTCTGTCCATTTTCTTTATCTTAACCAAGCACCACCTCTTGTCAACTCACTGAATGACACCCACACAATCACACCAATCAGGTCATTGCGAACGAGACAACCATCTCTTCTTCTTGCTCCTCTATTTGCCAATCAGATCATTCATTTACAACATTGACCAAGTTCTCTGTGATCCTTGCTTCAACATCTTGTTGGCTTCAGCGCCACCTTTGCAACTGACAACACCAACTCATCATCTCCCTTCCTTTCTTTAGTTCTCTTCCTACACTTCCTCTGCCTTTGCAGCCAACCAAGAGAAATGAACTCACACTCTGCAGTTTCTAGAGATGATCACACTCCATAAATGAATAAGTTTGAGATGAAGGTTATGTTGTTGGTGTTGATGAGAAGAAGGATGCTGGTTATGGTGGTGCTTTGATCACCATATTTAACAAAGTAAGTTGTAGAATTCAATAAATGCAATTAAAAGTCAAGGAATAGAACGGGGGATTAGACTTCCCCTCCCCCGCCCTGGGGGTTGTTTGGGTTAGTTGATCTTTTGTTGGTAGATCAGTGGAATAGTCCTGTACAGTGTTAAAGTAAACAACATACAACCAACCTTCTAACTTGCAGAAGATTCTTTCTCACACGCCTTTTGAAATTGGATTGCCTTCTCCTTTCTTCTTCCTTTCATCTCTTTTGATCTCAAAAACTCTTGCTATTTTCTTTGCTCCTTTCTGCTCTCATACTTTTACTATGCTTTTTTTATTCTATTTTCTTCTCAACACCAGCACTCCCTAAACAATCTTTGCCTCAATCATGTCTAAGTGGGATAAATTTCTTATCTTGCAATACTAGATAGTACATTGAGCATGTTTGGAAGATCTTGATGAGATTAGCTAAGTTGCTGTTGAGCTCCATCACATTTTCTTGTAATGAGGCTTTCCTCCAAATCAGGAGATTTGAAAACTTGCTTACCTTTGTTTTAGGAACCTCTAACTATCCTCACCTCATCTTTTCCCAATATTGCCAAACTGGCTTGGCATTTTGAAGGATGAGAGCAAGGGGACAAAGCTTAACGATAGCCCAGTACTTTAATTTAGCTGTGGTGCATATGTGGGTTTCCAAGGAACTTTGATAAGGTATGGTTCTCCATAACTGATTTAAGCTTGATGGACTTGGAATGACCTTAGTTAGCTTGCACATAATGCACTCTCCATGGTAAAATAGGCTTACTTCAAATTTTTCTTTGATCAGGTGCATACTTTTAATTCAATATGTACATTTGGTGTTTCTCTTTCTCATATATTTGGTTCAACAAGAGCACGTAAATGATCTTTATTGTTGTTTAGGGGTGGTAATGGCAGCAAGCTGTGTTAATGGCAGACATTTACAGTTGAGTTACTGGGGATAATTCTGGTTCTGTTCTCTTTAAGTAACTGCAACCAAAAATGAAAGTAATAAGTCGGTGCTAAACTGCATTAATGCTGCTGCATTTAGAATAAATTGTGCTTTTGCCATTTCTCTTTTGTGGCCTTTTTGATAGTATGTGCTGCTGCTCTGTTGTAGTGGAGGCAGTAAAAAAAACACAGGTTTAGGAACCTGCATACAGAGCATCAGTAGCCCAAATGGGATAGTAAATTTATTCTTATCTGAAAAAAATAAAGATACTGTTTGGCAGGACTCGGAAAATAATTGATTAGATACATATGAAACTGATGCTTGAAACATTATGGCAAGCTTAATTATTTGGTTAGTACCAATCCCCATATAACTTGATCTTGTAGATTTTGGGAGTCCTTATGCTTCACACTTTATACCATTTTCAATGAATTTCTGATATCATAATGTTCATGGACATCATCTACTGCGCTTTTTTAGACTGTGTACGACCATGACACATTCACCAAGGATGACAAAATGGGAGATGCAGAGTTTGACATTAAAGCATTTCTAGAGGCGTTGAGGATGAAGTTAGATGGCCTCCCAAGTGGCACTGTAATTACACGAGTACAACCTAGCAGGACAAACTACCTGGCAGAAGAGAGCACTGTGATCTGGAAAGATGGCAGAGTCATGCAAGATATGTGCCTCAGGTTGAGAAATGTGGAATGTGGCGAAGTGGAACTCGGATTACATTGGATTGACCTTCCTGGCGCCAAGGGCTTCTAGAATACTCATCTGGCTTTATCTGCTGGCTATTGTCTGTATGTGATTTATGGGCTGGTTTCAAGCTTCCACAGCCCTACATTGTGGGAGCTTCATGGTGGGACTTGTTTATAGAGACAAGTATAGCAAGCTGACCTTTACTCTTATTATATATGGCTATCGATGCATGATTTGCAGTTTAGTCTGTGTGACTCAATAGTTTTGGGTTTTTGCCACTGTAATCGTTAAGTTACATGCTCCTTTTTCTACTTGTTGAACACATTATACGATAAATCTAGGGGATGCAAAAGACAGAATTCTGGTTTATGAATGAAATTGGTTTTGGTTCCAGATGCATTCGATTTTATTACAGCTAGGTAGGATCGGATATTTTCAAATATTTATTTCATGTTAATAATTTTTGTTAGAAGAAAATTTGTTCATGAAGCTATGTATTGGGTTTGCCTGAAACAGTAAATTATTGAACAAGCATGGTTTTGCAAAGTATACAAGTCATTCTTTATCTTGTCTAAGTATTGGCGTCTGGACGGTGTCATATTACCCTTTGGTACATTTTTCTGCCACTAGTCAAAAGTTCAACACCGAGCAGCTTAATTTTTTTATATTTTGTGTCAGAATAAATAAAGCTATTTGGGTTCTATTTGAGGTTGGCGTTTTACAGCCCTATTTATGAGAGGAGGAAACGGATTCAAATTTTATTTAGCATTTTTTTATTCAATTAGATGATAATGTATTAGTTGGAAAATAACTTGTAACGAGTTTAAAATGACTCCAATTTCATTTTATTTATATCAGCTCACCTATTACCCTTTATTCTTACCGGCACTCGTAACTCCAATTTCCAGATGTCGCACAACTTTTCGCATGAATGTTCTACTCTGTAGTGTGGGAGTAGCAATGAGGTGAATGTTAATAGAACCGCTACATTGAATATTTTCTCCGTAAGAAGGCGCCCCCACACCAAAACTAGGAGTAAATATTCAACTATACCATGTTAGCACTGCTACGCGATATCACCATCTAGTAACCGCTTAACAAATGGGCAATAGGAGAAAGCATTATTCTCCTAATGTATGAAAAACTTTTTTTTTTTTGGGTCATTAATGTATGAAAAACTAAAAATGCAATAGTTGATCTCCAACTGTTAAATACAATCACGAACACCGACAAGAATGGAAAAAAATTGATGACAAAGTTTTCCCTTTGTTATCATTAGAGAGGGAAAGAAAAACTATGCTAACATAAGCAAAAAGTAAAAGAAACCAGAAAGAGTAGGAAATAGAAGAAATCTCAAGACTGAACCATATTTAATTACGTGCTTCAATATCATATAATTAAATCGTAATGTAATAAAACATTTAATAAATCCTTGAAGCTCATGCACAATAGCTTTGGGTTCCTTGAACCAGTACCATTTGTCTTGTTGCCCTATATACCATAACTCATGCATATGTGTTTTACTTGGGCGGGGTTCATAATAAGTCGTGCTATATGTCATTAATGGTATATATAGATTTTGTCATGTCAAAATTTATTTGATTTATATTTAATTATTTATTTTCATAGATAGCTGAATTTTATTCAGTGTACATTTAGTTTTATATCATGTGCCTAGTTTGGTTTGTGTTGTATATAGTTGGGTTTGTGTCAACAAAAATTTTATTTGATGATGCTAGAAACTGACCCCCAATTTTCAAGGAAATTATTGACTGTAATTGTTCTTTGACCGACCAAGGGGAGCACCTGAAAGGACAAGTCGATGATGAGTCAAAAATGGGAATGAGGAAACTAAATATTAGATTGGAGTTAGGATTGCTTACCTGATTGATCTCCTTTCTTCCCTTTTTATAGACAATGATGATGCAAATGGTGATGTTTTATCCCTTGCTTAGATTGGGGTGAATCCCAGATATTTAGTGGTGGAATGGAGGTAGACTCCTTGTCCAAGTGGAAGTCGTATCTGAGTTGAATTAGTCAAGTTGTGGAGGAACAGAACTCTGACAAGTTGAAGGGTTGAAGAACTAGAGAGTTGGAGAGCTAGATTTTCACTAAGTTGCCGAGCTCCTTGTGCGAAGCTTGTGTTTAAATTCCTATCGTCAGTTTCCCCTCAGTATAGTTAAGCATTGTTTGCACGTGCTTTGCGTTTAATGCAATTGTCCATTAGTGTTTGGGGAAGCGGGAATGTGAAGTGTGCAGATGTAACTTCAAAGGATTCGTTGCGGGGGTCAATATTTAAACGATTCTTGGCACCAACTTCTGGCAAAACTTCAAGAAACTCAAGAACTCTGGTACTCCTCTTCTTGCTTATTCTTATCTTCTTTTTTCTTTCTCTTGTACTTTTAAGCTGGAGTATATAGGGTGGAGTCACACATCTTAATTCCACTTCTACCACTTTTGTTTCATTTAGTGGAAGGGTCACAACCTTGATAATCTAGAGTTCATCATGTACAGTTGTAACACCCCACCCTCCACATGGCATAAATATTGTCTACTTTCGGTCCACTGGCCCTCATGGCTTTGTTTCTCCCAGTACCCCTGGGAAAAAGGCCTTATGCCATGTAAGGCGAGGGCCTTACTAATAAGTCCAACAACTTTTCCCTCCCTAACCGATGTGGGACACTAGGATCTTACAATCCACCCCCCTTAGGGCTGCACGTCCCCATGCAGCAGCTCGCCAGCTACCTGCCCGCCCACATACACGCGAGCACAGCAGAGGCCCACACTCAATCTAGGCGAGGGTCAGTGCTTGAGAAAATTCCTTGTTGTTTTCTAACCTCTAAACATCATCTTTTAGCATATATAATATATGAATGAAGGGGAGTGTCACTCTCTTTGAAATGATGTCAAAAGAAAGGGCAACGAAATGGTGGATGAATGAAATGACAAATGTGTGTGTGTGTGAACAAAAATGCTCCCCAAGCGCAAAGAGACTTTCACTGATCGTGTTTTACTTGGTGGTATTCCTATGTCATTTTCACATGGAAGGAAATAAACCAAGGGGAAGGTGATTTTGGGAGAAAGAAAGTGTAAAATCTTTAATTGTTGGAAGTTATTTTGATGCTAGTAAAATGAGAAACAAATGTTGACAAATCCAAGAGGTCACTCCAATAGGAATACCGTCTCAACTCGAAACCCTCCTCCAATAGAGCATGAATGAACGATTGATTCGTGGGAAGCTAGGGATAAGATTGGTGAGTATCTAAGCATAAACCGTGACTAGGCCCACGGAATATCAAAGACTCACCAAGTTATCCCCCCTCAACCCAGTCAAACCGAACCATTGAACTCTGAAAGAGGGGAGGAGAATGAGTTGAAAATGGTTTACCTAAGTGGAGGTTCCCCTTGGTTTTGCCAACTAAGAGATTTAGCTACTCATGCTTAACGTAAAGACAACAATGTAATGAGAAGACATTATCAAGAAATGAAGATTGAAGCTAAATATAAATGAAATGCACAAATATAACTTCCAAATAATTATACATTTCCTTCACATCTTACTAAAGATTGGATGAGAAACTACTCACTCTGCATGGCTTTGGTAAAACTAGAAAAGTGAGTGATGTTCATCCCTCTAAGTAGAGGAGTTACAAGGTAAAATACTTTACACAAGAAGCTGATTTTCGACAAAGAATGAGTGAATCACGTTCCACTCTTCACGACTTTGGTAAGCTCTAGAAAAGTGGAAGAGTTTCACTCCTCTAAGGGAAGAAGGAAGCTCAACAATGGAAGTAAAAGAAAACAATAATACAATAAAAGAAAGTAATACTTAAAGAAAAGGAATGAGCAAGAGAGTAATAATACTTTTGGAGGATTTTCCATTACCAAAAGATGAATGCTTTACAAGTCCTAAGGGGTGGTATTTATAGGCAACAAGGGAAGGTGAAAGTCTTGTTTGGTGGCTTTGAATTACATGAAAGTCTTGTTTGGTGGCCTTGAATTGCATGAAAGTTTTGTTTGGTGGCCTTGAATTCTTTGATCCCCCTTTGTTTTGAGCTTTGATAATTGACACCCCAGTAGTTTGTAGCATTAATGCAATTGGCTCCTCAGTAGTTTGTAGCTTTGACGCACAAAACCGTGAAAAGAACAACCATTAATGTATTATCCTTTATTCACACACTAACCCTAATTTGATTTATTTTGTCTAGTTTAACTTTATTCAACTAACACAATTTACCTATTAAATTATGCCTTAATTAGGGTTAATCCGCATCTGATACCACTTGTAACACCCTACCCTCCATATGGCATAATATTGTCCACTTTGGGTCCACTGGCCCTCACGGCTTTGTTCCTCACAGTACCCCTAGGAAAAGGCCTTATGCCATGTAAGGCGAGGGGAGGGGTTAACTAATAAGCCCAACAACTTTCCCCTCCCTAACCGATGTGGGACACCAGGATCTCACAACAGTTCTACCCATGTCCAGCTACAATCCATCCTCAATTCTTGCCTCTTTCTACTTACCCATAGAACTGGTTGCCTTCTTGCTCCAAATTTATACATCAACTAGGATAGCTTTGTCACTATAGCCAGAAATTTAGAGCAAAATCTATCTGAGGGTACTCCTTTATTGGTGTCCAAGGCCGATAAGGTCAGTGAGGACTTTGATTCCATCTTAGAGATTGCCTCCTCATCAATCAAGAATGTAGAGTTTAAGAAATTCTAGAGTTCTCTTGATGAGAATGGTATTGGCGTTCTTTGGGCCAGACCCAATGACGTCTTGCTTCTGTAATCACTGTTCCTCTTGCTCCCAGTCCTTCTCCTCATAGCAGTGTAGCTTTGTTCTTGAGAAGTTTTTTCTTTTGTTTTAATTAGGACCTAACCTCTATTTCTCTTTATCCTAGGAATGGCACCCAAGGTCGACAAGAAATTTTTCAAAGAACTCCTCATGAAAAAGGACTTCAAAGGGTGACTCATCTTTGCCCAAGAAGCCACGATTGACACCTTCAAAATCAAAGGGAAATTCAACAAGCTCATTTGGGCTCCCAGTAACTCCACTGAACTC